TTCCTTCCTTCCTTCCTTTCTTTCTTTCTTTCTTTCTTTCTTTCTTTCTTTCTTTCTTTCTTTCTTTCTTTCTTTCTTTCTTTCTTTCTTTCTCCCCCCATTTCTTTTTTCTTTGTGCTGGTACTGGGGTTTCAACTCAAAGGCTGGGTGCTGTCCCTGAGCTTTATTTCACTCAAGGCCAGCTCTCTATTAAACCACAGATCCACTTCTGGCTTTCTGGTAGTTCACTGGAGATGGGAGTCTTATGAACTTTCCAGCCCGGGTTGGCTTTGAACAGTGATTCTCATATCGCAGCCTCTTGAGTAGCTAGGATTATCGGTGTGAGCCACTGGCACCCGGCTTGTTCCCCCGTTCCTAATATAGGTGACATGGAATCCCAGGGAGGAGAAGTTTGTTGGAATCAGGGTCAACCCCCAGCTCCAAGGTTCTGTTCTAAGGTCACCTTCATGGTGGCATTGTCCCAGGGCTGGGGAGAGGCAGTGGTTTTGGCTCTGGGGTTGAGAACTTGACTTTATCACTTGTTAGTTCCCAGTCCTCACCTATGGAAGTGCCATGACTGCCCCCAGACTCTGGGTGTCACAGGAAAGAGGAAATGAGATTGGTATAGGCAGCAGAGTACTGTGCCTGACACATAGTAGGTGATTAACTCCTGGGTGCACGTCCCAGTCCCCCACCACACCCATACCAGAATCACCGTCCACCGGCTTGCTCACTCATGGTGTGTGGTTGTGAAATTGCCTTAATGTCTATTCCCACTATGAAGGCTGGGTTTCTGAAGCAGGATCACACCCCGGAACCACAGCCCCAGAATGAGCTGGAGCTGTACCCCGTGCCTCCTGGAAGGGAATCTTGTGGTGGTGGAGGGGTGCCCAGGCTTGGCTTGGTTTTGTTTGTTATCTTGGTTTCCTGGGATTAAGCATAGCCAGGGTGACATGTGGCCTCATCCACCTCTTCACCTGGGGTCAGACAGGCACAAGTTCAGGCTCGGCCTATGGCATCAGGCATCAAGAAGGGCATCCTTGCCACACTCCTAGGGGATGTTTGAAACTCTACTGGGAGCCCCCCCCGCCACCTCCCAGGCAAGTCCTGCCTCTGCTGAACCTTGGGCCTCCTGGTGACCCGTACTCATGACAGAACTCAGGGAGTCATTTAGGGGACTGGTTATCTCGTGTGCTGTGGGTACCCTAGGACTTCAGGGTTTCCAAGCCCTTGTTCCTCCTGCAGAGGTCTTGCAGATTGGCTTATGGCTGCTTCTATTTCCCTCCCCCACCCCCAGAGGATGGATGCCCCTTCTTTTAACCTGGGGGTGAAGAGAATTGTCCTGGTGCTGTTTAAAGGTGACAGAGAGCAGGGGTGTAACCTCTCCCCCCCCACCTTCAAGGCTGCAAGTTCTGCCCCTGGCTCCCAAGGATAGAAGCAAAGCTGTAAGAACCCCTGCCCTGGGCTCCTGTCTCCAGACTCTCACCTGCCAGGGCCTGGCTTAGCCACCATCCCCCCCCACCTGAGCCTGCCCCAGCTTGCTCTGGGCAGGGCCTCCTGGCCTTGCTCTCAGGCTTCCTGCCTTGGTCTGGACCTGCAGGGCAGGGGGGGGGGAAGGGGGGAGGATGTGAGTGGAGACTGTCAGGCTGTCCTGAGCTTGCTGGTCTAGGGGATGGAGGCAGAGACCTTGCTTTGTAGTCACAAATCTGGGCTGGAGTCTGACACATATGGGTCACTTCCAGCCAGGAGGGATTTTCCAATCTCTCTCAGTTTCCTTATTTGCCAAGTAGAGATCTACACCTGACTTCTTGAGGTTGTGGTGAAGAACTAAGTGATGGACAGAGCTTGACCCCATGGAGGTCTCAAGGAGTTAGCCCTACTTTTGGAGGTCCTCCATCCCAATCCCCCTCTCTACTTCTCCCTCTTTTTCTCCCCCTCCCTCTCTCTTCCTATTTCCCTCTTTCCTTCCCTCCTTCTCTCTCTCTCTCTCTCTCCCTCTCCTCTCCCTCCTTCCTTCTCTCTCTCCCCCCAATGTCTCTCTCCCCCACCTCTGGCCAAGGTGGACATCTCTCTCTCTGCTTAGGAGGATGAAGACAAGAGGAGAATATTTGGAGTGGGTGGATTTGAGTGCAAGTATGCGAGGCAAGTCTATTTATTTAGGACTTTATAGTGTTTATACCCATAACTGCTTTTGAACTTGGGGGACAGCCGTTAGGCAGGAGCATTTTTTTTTAGTAGAGGAACAAACAGAGGCGGGGAGATAAATGGGAGTAGTAGAGCTCACATTTACTGCACAGCAGTTTTAAACCAAGACCAGAAGTCCAGGGCTCTATGTCCCAGTAGTGTGCCACATGTGTGTAATCTCATCCAACTCTCACAACGACTCAAAGAGATGAAGGTTCGGCCAGGTATGCCACACAGCCAGTGAGGAGCCAAGTTCTGCCCCTCAGCTCTGTTTAGGGGTCTCTTCCAGGAGAGGGAGGTAGCCCCTTGGGACTCTGTTCCAAGGTGAAGGGCTTGGCTGATTTGGGGGAGGACCTAGTGAAGCTTTTGACCCCCCTAATCCCTGGTCATCCAAACACTCAACAAAGACCTTGCCCCTGACTCTGCTCCCTTCCTCCTCCGGCAGGCCAAGCTAGGGGGGGGGGCCCTGGTGCTGTGAGTCACCCCCACTGTGGCCCTGGGGAGATTAAGGTGGGGTGGTAGAGGTCCCCCCCATCTCCATCACTGGGGTGCAGAGGCTGTTTACAGGCCTGAGGGGCAAGTCTGAGCAGTGCAGGGTGTTTGCAGGCGCCAGCGGCAGCAGGCAGGGCGGCGGGCGGAGGGAGGGCCCGTGGGTGGGGGGGTGGAGAGACACTTACTAAACACCCTTCCCTTGGGATTGGCACACAGCCTGGCCTGGCAGAAATGGCTGGAAAATGCAAAGTGGAGGCCCTGTCCAAAGACGGGGTGGGAGGTCACAGAAAGGATACAGAGGGGATTTGGCGTTTGCTTCCAGAAGCCACGAAGGGATCCCCGAGGAAGAGCGACTCTGTAGGTCAGGTCTAAAGGAAGGCTAGCCTGACACAGGGACAAGGGACCCAAACATGTCCCTGGGGTGTCTGAGGTTCGGGATGGGAGCTGGAAGGCTGCTTTCCAACACACCTATGTGTGATGCCCCGGTGGGCAGGAAGTTAGCACCAAGAAAGAGGGAGAAAATGGGAGTACAGAGTTAGGAGCCCAGATTCAGGGCTGATTGGGGTCTGACCTACCACTTGCTAATTGTGTGCCCACATACCATTACTTTCTTCCCGAAGCTTTAGTTTCCTCAGGTGTAAAGTAAGGCTGGGAATGTGGCTTAGTGGTAGATTGCTTGCCGAGCATGCATGAAGCCCTGGGTTCCATTCCTCAGTACCACATAAACAGAAAAAAGCTGGAGGTGGTACTGTGGCTCAAGTGGCAGAATGCTAGCCTTGAGCAAAAGAAGCTCAGGGACAGTGCCCAGGCCCTGAGTTCAAGCCCCAGGTCTGGCAAAAAAAAAAAAAGAAAGTAAGGTTGCCACTATGATTCTTATGATTCTTACTAGGCAGACACTGGGAACATGCATTAACAGGGACCAGTCCTTTAAAAAATCTATCTAGCATCGGGCAGCTGTAGCTCAGGCCTGTAATCCTAGCTACACAGGAGGCTGAAGGATCAATTTGAAGCCAGGCCAGGCAGAACAGTCTGAGAAGCATCTATCTCCCAAAACTACAACTAACAAGTAAAAAGGGAAAAAAGCTGGACTGGAGGCATGGCTCAAGTAGTAGAACACCAACCAAGTGAGCAAGCTTGAGCAATTTCAAGGCCCTGAGTTCCAACTTTAGTATCAGCAGAAAAAGAAAAGAAAAGAGAGGGGCTGGGAAGGTGGGTTCGATTCCGACCAAAAAAAAACAAAAACAAAAACAAAACAGCCTGTGTATTTGTATCTGGGGGAATGTGTCAAGAGAGGATTGTCAATGGTTAATTTTGTTTTTGTTTTTGTTTTTTAACTTTGCCAAGTTAGGGCAAAGAGGAATGTGGAACATCTGCTGTCTCTACCATGACAGGTTCATCCCTCATCGGCACCCCCAAAGGAGGAAAGGTGAGATTGCAAAGTGAGCCATGTGTGTCCACCCTTCTGACTGGCTTCGTAGACAACCTCCTAAAGGAGATCTGACTGGGCTGAGTTCTCTTAAAACAAAGCTCCAGGCTGCTTTTTTGTTTTTTGTTTTTTCCTCTGCTAGCTCAGAGCTGGACAGTTTTGTCAGGATCCTCTGGTCACTGCTAGCCTCTCTCTCTCTTTTTCTTTTCTCTTGCTGTTATTCTGTTTAGTGGAGCCAGGCTCACAATAGCAGGCTGTGCCCAGGGTATAAGAGGATGCATTACTGTGCCCATCCACCCCTTCCAGAGAGGGAAGAGGGGGTTGTCTTCACCTCATTGCATGCATGTGGACACCACTCTGCAAAGCCATGGTCTTGCCCCAACTGGCCTTAGATGGGTGGAACCCTTGCCTTGGGGGCATGAACGCTGAAACCCTGGGCTTGCTCCTGCCAACTGTAATTAGGTCCAAGACATGACGTGCCCATGACTGGCCCGAAGCAATGGAAAGGCCCTTGAAGAAGGAGGTGCTGCCTTTCACAGGCCTGGGAGACTGTGTGTGGTGATGGAGGGGAGCAGGCTGGAGACCAGGAGCCTGGGGTGGGTGCCAGAGGGCTGGGGCAATGGGCTGGCCTCCGCTGGAGTCCAAACCTACCCTGGGGCAGTCCCTACATGCAATCTCTTATGTTTCACAAAATAGCCACCATTTCGAATGGCTCACAGTGCTGCCAGAGCTTTGGTTAAACAGCCAACAAATGTTAGTTGTTGAGGAAAGGTTTTTTTTTTTTGGTCAGTTGTGGAGCTTGAACTCAGAGCCTGGGCACTGTCCCTAAAATTCTTTTGCTCAAGGCTAGCACTCTACCACTTGAGCCACAGCACCAATTCTGGCCTTTTCTGTTTATGTGGTACTGAGGACTCAAAACCAGGGCTTCATGTATGCTAGGCAAGCACTCTACCACTAAGCCATCTTCCCAGCCGAGGAAAGGATTCTTATCTCCATTTTATAGATAACAGATACTCTAAGACTCAAAGAAGTGAAGAGCATGGCTTGTCTAAGATCTGCCCGGCTCTAGGGATGGGGTAGGGGCTGGGGTAGATTGGCTTCTCTCATTAGCTTCAGACTTCCATTTGTAAAACGAGGCAAAAAATGCCCTCCTTAGTACTGGGTGAAGATTCTATAGGAAGTACTCAGCACAGCACCTGGCATCTATTAAGTACTCAATAAATGGAGTTAACAGCGAGTCTATCGGTAATCCTCAATCTGGTTGACTGTTTAAACATCTTCTTTAAACATCATCTTCTTCTTCTTCCTACTCCCCCCTTCTTCTTCTCTTGCCTCCTCTGTCTAGTGGGGGTTCAGCTCCTTGACCTCAAATCCTTGAAACTCCTTTCACATGTGGAAAGCTAACTCCAGAGGCAGTGTTTTCCAGATTCCTTGGACTCAGTGACGTGCTGGTGTTGGCTTGTGTCAGCTTGTTATACTTTTAAGAGCTTGTCCAGCTGGTTGCTAAACTCTGCCATTATTTTAAAAATTAAATTATATAAACACAATGAAATAATTTACGGTTTAAACAAAAGGCAGAGTGGATATGGTCGTACATGCCTATAACCCCAGCACTCCAGTGGGATTGTGAGTCTGAGAATAATCTGAGCTCCAGAGTGAAATCCTATCTCAAATAATACAAAAACAGAACAACCAGAGAAACCCCAAAACTAAAACAAAACACACAAAATGAAACAAAACAACAGAAACAACAACAAGCTGGGTACCTGTAGCTCACACCTGTAATCCTAGCTTCTCAGAAGGCTGGGATCTGAGGATTGGGGTTCAAAGCCAGCTCAGGCAGGAAAGTCTGTGAGCCCCTTACCTCCAATTAATCATCAGAAAACTAGAAGTGGAGCTGTGACTCAAAGTTGTAGAGTGCTAGCCTTGAGCAAGAGAGCTCAGGGACAGCACCCTGACCCTGAGTTTAAGGCCCACAACAGACAGACAAAACAAAACAAATATATAATCAAAACAAATATATAAAACAAGTATATAATCAGGAACAGTGCCTAGGCCCTGAGTTTAAAGCCTACAACAGACAAACAAAACAAAACAAATATATAATCAAAACAAATATATAATCAGGGACAGTGCCTAGGCCCCAAGTTCAAGCCCCACAATTGACAAAAGAAAAAAAAAATCTACCCAAACCAAACCAAAACACTCCCAATAACAAAAAGGCAATAAGTACTAAAATATATCACAACCTAATTATTTTCTACATTATTGTTAGCTATGCTCTTGAGATATTTCTTTTTCTTTTTAATATCTATTTGATTGATATGATGGGGTTTATTTTTTGAATCCAGGGCCTTGTACATGTTCCCTAGTCCCCTCCCCACACTTTTTTTTTGTTTCTGAATTAGTTAATTATGAATTAATTTTGAGATGGGGGAGGTCTTACTATTTAGCCCAGGCTGGCCATAAACTATCATCCTGCCTCCGCCCCCTGGGTAGCTAGGATTACAGGTGTATGCTTCTGCACCTGGCTGACACAGTGGTATTGCTGTGGAACAGCAAGGATTACCCTTGTTTTCCTAGCTGCACATTCAGTGCCTGTCATCTTGGTAGCTTCAAACTGGCCCCAGTGGGAGAATTTACACCATTGGACATAGGCAGATACTTACTTCACATCTGGGCACTCTGTCCCTCCCCTCCCTCCCCAGCCAGAGGAGCCAGTTGCTAAAACATTTACCATTATCCACAGCTTGAACCCAACAGGGTTCCTGCTGTTAATGGACTGAATTCAGTGTGTCTCAAACTCCAATGGGTTTAGCTTGAGCATCTCCTAACTAGGATGAGGGGCCCAGACAATAACACCACAGACATTTCAGGGAGCCTAACTTAATCTCTAAAGATTAACACCACACAACAGTAGGTCTCAGGAACACAGCATTTCTGAAGCTCAAGAAAATCCTCATCTCTATATCTATCTATCTAAACTATCTATCTAAACTATCTATCTATCTATCTATCTATCTATCTATCTATCTATCTATCTGTCTATCTAAACTATCTATCTAAACTATCTATCTATCTAAACTATCTATCTAAACTATCTATCTATCCATCTATCTAAATCTATCTAATCTATCTATCTATCCATCTATCTATCTATCTTAGCTGATCTAAGTTCTCGTGAAACCCACATAAAATAGGTGTCAGTTGGGTGCCAGCAGCTCACGTCTGTAATCATAGCTACTCAGGAGGTTGAGATCTGAGCATCTCAGTTTGAAGCCAGCCCAGGCAGGAATATCCAGGAGTCTCTTAATCTCCAATTAAACACCAAAAAGCTGGAAGTGGAGCTGTGGGTCAAGTGGTAGAACAACAATTTTGAGCAATAAAGATAAGGGACAGTGACCAGGCCCTGAACTCAAACCCCAGTACTGGTGCGTACACACACACACACACACACACACACACACACACACACAGAATGTCCATCAAATCCCAAATTCATGAACCAAATAGAACCGGATAGTGAAGGAAACTTGTATTTATCCCTTCTGTACAGCAGAGCAAGGAGTTTGTCTAACCAGTATCTCTGGCTGTTGTGATTCTCCTTCTTCCTCAGAAGGCCTGGTCTCCACCCCTTCCCTGGGCCCTAGACCCCAGGTCCTTACCTAAGGCTTCTTGTTCCTCCTTTTTGTTCTTGGAGATGGTGGTGTGCTCAGGTTCAGCCAGGGGGCTGCCAGCCCCCAAGGGAAGTAGCTGGAAGGTGGGGTCCAGTTCCAGGATCATCTGGTTGAGGCTTTCCAGCGAGAAGTCAATGTAGGAATCCAGGCCCTGTGGGGTCCCCGAGGCTGGCTCACAGGGACCTGGCAGGAGGCCGTGGGCCTTGACCTCAGCCTGGGGGGCCTGTGGAAGCCTGTTGGGGGGGCCCTTGCAAGGTGTAGGAGCCATCAGGGCCTGGGCTCCCCAGCCTTCAGTGGTGTAGTAAGGACACGGCGGTGGTAGGCTGGGGCCAGGGGCTGGGCGCAGAGCTGTCCTGGCTTCCTCACAGGTAGCCAAGCCTCCTGCTCGCAGGGTGCTGGACATCACTTGGGACATGGTGGCAGCAAGGACCCTGGAATGTTGTCACATCACCAACTGGGGCTCCGAGAATCTGAAAGAGGTGGCGGGGGGGGGAGGTTGGAACTGAGTAAGTTCTGTAGTTGAAGCCCCTGCCTCGGTCCCCACTCCTTGCCACACCAAGGTGGCACAACTCTTTCACTTAATGTCATGGCTGCTAGGTCCAGACTTCCTGCTTTGCATCCTGGCTCCCCTCTACTCACTAGCTGTGCAAGTTTGGGCAAGTGAATCAGCCTCTCTGTGGGAGCCCCCTCCTCCCCTCCTACACCATTTCCTTACCTATAAAATGAGCTGGTATTTGCAAATATGCTCAGAATAGCCCCTGATACATGACAAGTATCATGTCAAGTGAGACATGACTTCAATTGGGACTTATTGAACAGTTACTATGTCCTAGGCATCTTATTTACATTTTTTAATTTAATAATTTATTGCTATTACTAAGGTGATGTACAAAGGGGTTACAGTTACATAAGTCAGGTAAGGTATGCTTTTTTTTTTTTTTTTTTTGGTCACAGGGCTTGATTTCTGGGCTCAGCTGCTGTTCCTGAGCTCTTCAGCTCAAGGCTAGTGCTCTACCATTTGAGCTACAACGCCACTTCTGGTTTTCTGATGATGGTTAATCAGAGGTAAGAGTCTCATGGACTTTCCTGCCTGAGCTGGCTTTGAACCTCAATCCTCAGATCTCAGCCTCCTGAGTAGCTAGGATTACAGGCATGAGCCACCAGTGCCCAGCAAGAGCACATTTCTTTTTGTCACCCTTCCCTCACTCTTTCTGTTTTTCCCTCCCCTCCTCACCCACAAGTTGTATAGTTCATTTTCCACAGTGTCCAGTGAACACCACTGCTGCATTTTTTTTTCCGATCATGGGCCTTGAACTCAGTGCCTGGGCACTGCCCTTGACCTCTTTTGCTCAAGGCTAGTGCTCTACCACTTTGAGCCACAGCACCACTCCACTGCTGCATTTGTTCACCCTTTGTCTCTCCATTTCTGTGCCCCAGCCTTACCCTCCCAAAGACAGATAAGTGAACAAACACGACAAAAAGAAAACAAATCATCAACAAAGAAAAATCTCTTTGTTTCCATTTCCTGGAGTTCATTTTGATAAACATTCTTTTGTACCATCCGATGCACTTAGGCATTGTGCCTTTGTGCTCCCTAGGCATATTATTAAGTACTAGCTAGAGTTTATGGAGTAATTACTACGCAATAGGCCCTGATATTTACCCTGACAGCCTTTTAAAGTCCTTGTGACAACCTCGTGAGGTAGCAACAGTTATAATCCCATTTTACAAGGAGAGAACTGAGACACAGAGAGTGAGTAATTTGCCCAAGGGTCATACATCCAGCAAATGTCAGAGCTGGACTGGATCTCTGGCAGTCTGTTGATTGGATCCCAGCAACTTAGGCCACTTGGAGAAAGTGGGGGGGGTTGGTAAAGAGGAGAGCAACTGCAGGATGCCAGTGGCTCACGCCTGTAATCCTAGCTACTCAGGAGGCTGAGATCTGAGGATTGGGGTTCAAAGCCAGCTGGGGCAGGAGAGTCCCTGTGAGACTCTTATCCCCAATTAACCACCAGAAAACCAGGATCGGCACTGCGGCACAAAGTGGTAGAGTGCTAGCCTTGAGCAAAAAGAGCACAGCAACAGTGTCCAGGCTCTGAGTTCAAGCCCCAGGATTGAACAATAAATGAATGAATGAATGAATAAATGAAATGAGAAAGAAAAAAGAAGGCAGCAACTGTAAAAAGTGTCACCAGGAGGAGAGGAAGCAGAGGGGACAGTGTGGCACCGGTAGGGAGGTTAGGAAGGACTTGCTGCAGATAGGAACATGCAAAGAAAAACCAGGAACTAGTGGGGCAGGGCAGGTGGAGAGAGGAGGCAGGCAGTGCTCAAAGCAGGGGGGACGTGTGTGCAAAGACCCAGCCGAGAGATAGGGGAAACCAAGCAGCGTTACTGAGCATCTAGGAAGCAGTGCATGAGGTGGAGAGAGCTAGAGATGGGGCAGAAGAGGCAGGCTAGCCAGATCCCGCCAAAAAAAAATTTTTTTTTTCACATTGACTCAGAACTTGCCTACTCAACCCTGAGGGCAATGGGCAGTCACCGAAGTGGTGAGCTAGAGAGCGACATGATCAGATGATATTCATTCCCTGGGGGTTCCTCAAAGGAAAGAGATGGTCAACTTCCTCATTTACTTTCCTATGGAAAGTCTTTTCTGTTGTCTAACCTTCATCCAATGCACTAGTTCCTCCGTGAGGATGGGAAGGAGGCATGGATGAGGAAACGCTAGGTGGTTGGCACACATGGACTGTGTTCCCACTACCTGCCTGAGCCCTAGTATTCCTCAATGCTCCCTTTTCCCAAGATGGCCTTCTCCATCCATTTTCTGCTCTAGAGTCAGCCGTAAGTGCAGGAAAAAAAAATACTTGAGACCAGTCAGCTGTGAGTGAATTGAAAAGGGATTATGAAGCAGGGGCGCTGGTGGCTCACATTTGCAATCCTAGCTACAAAGGAGACTGAGATCTGAGCATCGAGGTTCAAAGCCAGCCTGGGCAGGAAAGTCTGCGAGACTCTTATCCCCAATGAACCACCAGTGGCGCTGTGGCTCAGAGTGGTAGAGCGTCAGCCTTGAGCAAAAGATGCTCAGGGACAATGCATGCCTAGGCCCTGAGTTCAAGGCCCAGGACTGACAAAAAGAAGGAAGGAAGGAAGGAAGGAAGGAAGGAAGGAAGGAAGGAAGGAAGGAAGGAAGGAAGGAAGTAAGGAAGGAAGGAAGGAAGGAAGGAAGGAAGGAAGGAAGGGAGGGAGGGAGGAAGGGAGGGATGGAGGGAGGGAGGAAGGGAGGGAGGGAGGGAGGAAGGGAGGGAGGGAGGGAGGGAGGAAGGAAAGAAAGAAAAAAAAGAAAGAAAAGAAAATGGATTATGGTGATGGTGGCATGCTTACCTGTCAAGCACCCACTGGGTTTACAGAGGATTTGATTAAGTAACTCAAACCTTAGTGCACTGGGAAGTATTGCACCATCTCCCCCACTTTACTGACACTCAGAAAAGTTTCATAGGCTGCATATCCATCCCAAGTATTGGGCGGGGGTTGGGGGGAGAAGAGGAGGGAGGTGGAGTAGGATTCAGGATTCAAATCCAGACCTTGGAGGTGCGGAGTCTTAACTCCTCAAGTCCAGTGGAGTTCAAGTACAGTTCAAGTGAGATCTGGAAAGGGATCTGCCTAAGGTGACATAGTGAATGACAAACGCCAGGTCCCTCTTCTTTTCCTCCCACACAGCCTTCTAGATGCTTGCTGCCAATTTTTCTCCCTGGCTGGGAACCTGGAAGGGATGGTAAACCCCAGGCAGGGAAGTGTGGCTATAAATGGCAGTGGAAGGGAGCCGGCCTCGGAGCTCTTTCCCCAGGGGCAGCTGAGGACACGGGGCTGGAGACGTGGCTTCAAGTGTCCTGGGTTTGTTGGGACAGGATCTGGGCACTCCCTACTGGCTTCTCAGCCAGGCCCTGGGAGTGGGGGAGGGGGGCAGGCGAGGGGAGACCCTGACTTCACAGGGGGCCCTGCAAGCTGGGTCTGCCTATGGATTTGGACACTGTTTCTGTGCAAGTCAGGAGAAAGGTTCTTTCTGCTCTGAGAGGGTCTCGGCTGTCTCATCAGTGCTGTGAGCCTATGCTAATGACAGGCCCTACCGATCTCATTCTCCAATGGTCCTGTGGATTGCCCTGAGGGAGAGATGGAGGGATTCGTCCAAGCTCACCCAACCTCTAGGAGAGGAACCAGGGCTTGAACCCTGGGCATTGTTGGTTCTACCCTCCCACACAATTATGTGGCACAGGTCAGCTCACGTCTGCAATTCTAGCTATTCAGGAGGCTGAGATCTGAGGATCATGGTTCAAAGCCAGACTAGGCAGGAAAGTCCATGGGACTCTTATCTCTGATGAACCACCAAAAAAGCCAGAAGTGGAGCTGTGGATCAAATGGCAGCGTACCAGCCTTGAGCAAAATTGTTCAGGGATAGTGTCTCCCAGGTCCCCAGTTCAGGCCCTAGGTCCCAGGACATAGACACAGACACAAATACACACACACACACACACACACACACACACACACACACACACAATCCCCTTCAACTTCAGCTCCTCCTATGGTTCTGGAACATACTGGGACCCAGCAAAGGGCAGCCAGCCAACCTAGAGGCTCTTCTTCAAGCTCTTCTCACTTTTAACCCTTCTCGTACCAGTGGACTGCCAAGCCAGTGTTGTACCGTATTACTGTATTCCAGGACCTTGCTTGCCCACCTCTATTTTTACCAGAACAGTTGAGCTGATTCCTTCCCACTCTTAAGAGGCAGAGAATGTGTGTGTGTGTGTGTGTGTGTGTGTGTGTGTGTGTGTGTGTATGTGTGCGCACATGCGTGCACCTTCTACCTTCTGGTGCTCCAGCCTCTCTCTTTGTTTCTTAAGGACTCCAGTCAGGGTACTCCTGGGACCCTGGCAAGCCACCTTTTCTCCTGACTTCTTCTCTCCCTTCTAGAAGCCTCCATGAGTGAAGGCACCTGAGGGTGGAGTCTGCGTCCCCCACAAAGCACATACCCAGCTGGGTCATCCATTTCCCCCCGCGCCCAGGGGGTGCCAGCAACCAGTCCTACCTGCTTCAGAGGGCCACAATGTTCCCGCTGGGAGGCAGGAGACCCAGGTCTTTGTCCCATCCCTTCCCGAGTGCCCGTGAACCTCCCTGGACCTCCAGTTTCTCATCTGTGCAGCAGGAGTGCAGTACAGACTTAGTCCCTTTGTAAGCGCTACCCTCAGTTGTCTGATCCTGAATCTATCTCTGTCACCTACAGTCTCCTCCCCGATTTTGTCCATCTGCCCCAGAAGCGGCAAAAACCCTGAGAACAAAGGGTTAAATGAGTTGGGGGAGAGGGGTGAAAGGGCACTGAATTTTTCTTTAAGAACAAAGACACATACCTGGTGTCCCAGCAGG